TCCCTGCGTTCACGCCCACCACCAACACACTTCCTAGCAGACATGATGCTCAATCTGCTGCCACCAGAAACCTTCTTTAAGCGATCAAATAAATGTTTCTCTGCAGGCCGAGCACAACCCAGGCGCATCGCTGCCCCCTCAGGACACTGGCTTGTGCATCATTTCATGGGCATTACGCTGCCGTGCGTTATGCAGAAGTTAGGCTGTCATTCTGGACTGGTAATAAATACTCTATGTATACTTCCAAAATAGAAAGTTCAGCGTATGCCAGCGTTTAGGAGAGTCTGGGACGTCAGGCAGATGCTGGATGAACCAGGAAGGTGTGACAGCAGCTTAACCAGTGAAGTTTCCAGAGCAGCAGCTAAGCCACCATCAGCCAGAAGCTTCTTTCAGGGATTCCATGAGTCACAGCAGATAGGACTCCATTGAAAACAAGGGTGGTCTGATTATTTTCCATGACTGGGAGGGGCTGTTTGGGTGTAACAATAAGCGGGTCAGTGGTGGGTTTCCATCAGAACCGCCCTGCCTGGTGGTTTCTGTCACAGCGATAGAAACACAGTGATAGCTGATGAACCTCTGGGCCTTGCTTTGCTCAGCCGACAGCAGAGGGGGAGAACTCAAAGCTCCTCCAGGCACAGGAGGTTAGGAGATCTGAGCTAACCTCTGAAGCTACACCTAACCTTCCTCCACCAAACAACGACTACCAATAAATAAAGACATAAAAATAAATAGAATATATTCTATCAACCATCATCGTGTTCATTACAGGAGGAGAGCGCATCCTGTTAGCTTCAGGACCCAATATGGCTGCTTGGTCAACACCATGCAGCAGGAACAGGAAACTCCAGGCGCTGCAGCAGGAACACCTGTTGATCTGCAGCCGGAGAGGGACCACAGCCAGGGTCTGTAGCTGTGGGTCAGCTGGGGGTTCATGCTCACATCTGATGGAGTCACAGCAAAGGTCTGGTGACATGAGACCTGCTTGGAGAACTCGTGCTACAGTACAGGGCCCTGCAACCTGCAGGGCAGCAGCCCCCAAGGACCCGCTGTGGGCATGGCGGCCATTACAGTCCCATTTTTCTGCTAGCTCAGTGATCTTCAGCTAGCCTGACGTAGTCCTACTCTATTCTAGTCAGAATATGAGTCTGATGCCGCTCCATAGAGCTGTGCTTGCGGGGCGTGTTTCAAATGAACTA